GGGTGCTCTGGCTGCCGCCTCCTGTCCCGAATACTCTTGGAGCAGTCTGATTGGTTGTTTCAGAGTGTGAATAACGCATTACAGACAAACAGACAAAGGCATATGAGTTATATTTTTGCAGGGGGACACAACTGCTGGTTTTTGTTTTTAAACAGGCAGTATGTGATGAGTGTAGCTGTGGGCCCAATCCATCCCTCCACCCCTAACCTATTGTAATCCACAAAAGATAGTCAAGCGAAATTTTGCAAGAAACTCTTTGGTCACCTTCCAAAGAGAAGATATAGAACAACAACAACAACGGTTCATCATTTAAAAGGTAATAAGGACTACGTACATAAAATGAAGAAAACAGCACTCACTACCACTCCTCCAGAGAGAACATGCTCTGTGCTTTCTCGGTGAGCCGGTCTGTTCATAGCTCGAAGGTGATCTGTTATTGGGTGTGTCCAGAAGTTGCCAAACAGTAGAGCGCTAATCAAAATGAGAAAGGATCCATAACGGGCACACTTGGAAGCTTCCATCTTGACAGAACAGATGGACTCCACATAAAAGTCCAAGATCACAACAAAAAAGATAACCGTTATGAAAGGCATGATGAGAGAGGACCAGGATTCTACTTTGCTCTGTAAGAAGAAAAACAACATTATTATAACTAAGAAAAATTAATAACATTGTCACAGTCTAACAGACAAGTAACCTATATGCAACGTAAGTTTGCATATGCAGTATTAAATCCTGTACACTTTTGCTAAGTGATACAATTAAATGTACTAGTAAAATAGTATTTCACAATATTTGTTTTTTCTTACAACACACCAGACATTTTAATATTATTACCATATTTACTTGCATACTACACATACCTTTCCCTAAAAATTAGCCTTCTAAGTAGTGTGTCTTGAGTACGGAAGCTGATTTCTCCCCCCCCCTCCCCCAAGAACAGCAGCAGAGGCATTTCGATCAGGGCAGCTCTGAGGGAATCAATCATTATAATCCACTTGATTCCTGCAAATTGCTCTTCCCTCAAACACATGTTTAATGACCCACTCTTTTTTTTTTTTTCCAGTGGTCCTGATGTTCCACTAATTAATTTACTTTCTTTTGGCAATTTTGTTGATGAATTTGCAATTTAGTCATTTCTGCCTGGTTTATCTCCTCCTATTTCACAGCCCTGCAAACCGTTTTTAACTTTTTTCAAAATCATAGATCTGCCCATGGAGTCCAGTCTTCAGCAGCAGCTGCAGTTTTTCAGCTTTTGGCTGTACAGACAAGAACTACTGACAATTCAGCTGTGAAAACCTTACCTTTTGTCTAAGGATGAAACAAGCTGAAGATCAGGCTCTGTTCCTGCCAAATGCTGCTGTAACTCTAGAAAAATCTTTTATTCATTCTCCTTCCCCAAGACAAGGTATGTCTTACGTGGGGGCTTGTGGTATGTGAGAAAATACAATATTTAATGCCTTAAATTTACAGCATAAATACTTGTGTGGTATAAAATATCTCATATTTGAGTATTTATACTTTACAAGTTATGAAAAAAAAATTGGTTTTCTTTTCTCAATAGAAAGATCATGGTATAAACAGCTGAAAATCAGAGCATAAGTTATTTAAGAAAAACTACAGCTACCTTAAACAATAATTGTTTTAGTGAAAAAGAAATCACATCACCTGCAATCCAAAATTCTGAGTTGTCGAAGAACAAGCACAAAAAAACCACAGAAACACACAGAATTCTACTTTGAAAAATACAATTCTGATCAGAAATGCATAGAATTCTATTTTTCAAAACAGAATTTACTAAAAGAAATGTTTTTAGAGGAGATGCTTAAGTCACAGACTGCAGATTCCTTGGGCAGATGACGACCTGCAAATTTCGGGGACTGGACCTGAAGGTCCAGGAAGCCCTTTCCAGTCCTGTGTTCCTAGAATGATTGGTAGGGGGTCGGACTTGATGATCTGCTCAGGTCCGTTCCGACCCTACCAACTATGAAACTATGAAAAGCAGTCACTCGTGCATTTGAATACTTGCTGTTACCTCAGTTGTCAGAGATAGGATGATGACCCATGGACACAATAGAATGACAGAAACAAGATGTGATAAAGCTTGAAGACGCTTGGCTCCTCCTACATCTACAGACAACTTTCGGGAAGCCATGTGAAAGCCAACCTTACAGCACAATGCCAATACCAAAAGCAGCACTCCTCCCTGAAATCAGAGATAGATGTTAGCAGCAGAACTTGCAAGTCAAATTCTTCTCTCTATTAGCAATATTTGCATTAACATTACATATTCTTTTTCCTGTTCCCCCCGTTACATATTAATAGGATATGTATTAATATGTATATTCTGGCAAATATCCTATGACAGGATATTTGCCAGAAGATTAAATTGGTTAAAACATTATTACCAGGACACTGGGTTTTCTGTTTGCTGCGTGCACACAAAAAAAACAACCCAAAACCACAGATTCTCCCCTTTAAAGGCGATAAATGCAGAAAACCGTGGGTTTCCCCTTGCAGGCTGGCAGGTTCCAGCCTGCAAGGGGCTGCAGGGAGTAGGAGGAAGTCAATCAGACGCACATGGCCAGCAATACAGCTGCCAGGCAGTATGGTGGAGAGCAGCTCCCCCAACTGCCTGCTAGTAATTCAGGGGACAGACACGGGAGGGGAGGGACGATGACGGGATACGGATGGACGACGATGACGGACAGACACACACAGATTGAGGTGGTGGTGGCAGCTTGTACCCAGCCCCACAGAGGGAGGGAGTGGGTCAGGGTTGGCAAGGGGCTGGGGCACTGCCCAGCTGGAAAAGTGTGAGGCCCAGGGCTGTGGCAGGAATACGTAGCCAAAGGCCTGTCCCTCATCTGGTGGGGGAAGAGAGAGGAGGGAAGCTGGCAGGGGTGCCAGCTTCTTCATTGCTTCACGCACCCCTGGGGAGGGGTTGGGAGCCAGAGATGATGCACTGGGGGGGATGGGGGCACATGCCTCCCCCCCACCCCAATTTGTGTGCTCACACTGGGGCATGGGGACGCAGCCCGGCTGGACAAGCACTGGGCCACCTCTGGAGTCCAGTAGGTGGAACCCAGGGCAGAGCAGGGCAATGAGACTCATTGCTGCTGCCAACACTGCTGCAACTGTGTAGCTGCGCTGCCATGGAGTAATGTTGCATGAGATTTTTTAGCAGAGTGAGAAATAACGGACTGGGGAAGGGGACCATGCTGCCCTGGTCTCCCACCACCAGCTGCTGGGCCTCAGTTCTACCCTGCCGCTGCTCCCCTCAGGCCACTTTTTTAGACTCAAGGCATCTCCCCATACATTTTCAGAATTTAGTGGCACCATAAATATAGTAGATGAAGTGTGATGAGCCATAGACATTATAACTAGAAGATACAGTTGGTGGACAATAAGAAGGAGATTGATAGGCAAAGGAGGTGTCACGGAGATTTGGTGTCTCTCTAGACCTCCTGAGGCCAAAGTAAACAACACAAGAAAAATGTTTTTTGCACCTGAAATAATTAGATAGGTGTGGAAGTTTGAAGTTAGGTCTGATTTATTTCTAGAACTCAGAACAAGGTAATGAAAAATCTAGGGATAAAGTGGATCAAAAAAGAGGGATTTCTTTGCTAGTATGAGCTAACCTGCTGGAGCCAGTCAGCATAAGACAGCTAGACTCTTCCTTGATAGTCTAGTTGCAAGCATTCTGATTAAATACTTGTAACTGTAATTACTGTGCAAGTATAGTCATTAATAAGCTTCTAATTTATTATCTAAATTAATAAGTGTATAACACTATGTAATGTATAGCTAGTATATAGTTATATTTTAGAGCATTAATTGAAAGTAACTATTACTGGCCTCTGGATTTAATAAAGCCATTTTAGCTGAATTACTGATGTGGTCAATTGAATTCCAACAAAAGCCAAATATTTGCAGGATATTCTAAATTCATAAATAATTTTTCACACACTTTCATGCACACATTTTTCAGTCATTTAGAAAGTAGATTACTTGAAGAAAAAGTTTACCTTGTGATCTGCAACTCCTAAGAAAGCAATGATTGTATAAAGAACATGGGTAAGAACACTGTCATGATGTCCTTCAGCTGAATAAGCTGAGTTAAGGAAAATTACATAAATAGGAAGTTCTACCTTCCAATTATAATTTGGTAAGAACGAATGGCATCTCAGAACCATAATGATCAATAACAATTTACCTATTTTTAAAATATAAATAATGCAAACAGTTACAGAGGACTAGAAACTGAAATTTGACAGGAAATAAGGAAAAGGGTCAATTTGATGACAGTAATACACATAATCAAATCAAACTTTAAAATTGGTAGAAATTTTTCAGTGCTAAATATGGAATGCTGGAAGTCTATCACTTTCCTAGAACAGAAAAGAGTTACAGAACTAAAGCAACAACAATTAAAGAAACTTTAAATAGCTGCCCAAACTAGTCATACTGTGTGCTCTAATTCTGACAATTGGACTTACAAGGATAAAACAAATAGTAAAAGTTCATTTCACTGAAACCATTCTAAAAGTTATTTTTTGTCCAGCACCTAAAACATTTTTATTAACTGCTCTTGAATTCCCAAATACCTGAAACAGAGAAGATTAATATAACTTACTTTATCGCAAGGAAATGAAAAAGGAAAGGATCTAGCAGAGTTTGCAGATTTGTTGGAATCTGATAAGCCATGCCATGAGTGCTTCTGCTATAGCCTCAAGCTTGTGATCTCTGGGCTGTCAACTGTGCACCGTAGCATCCGCGCCAACCCAGCCCTGTAAAACTGACTTAAATGAGAAAACGACTAAAATGAAAGCAAACTGTTTATAACTCCAAAAACATTTTTTTAAAATCTGCTGTTTAAAATGGATCAATTTCACTTCTTTGTAACAGAAAATGAAGGACAGATTAAAATTGGATGCAGACAAGAGAACTAAATAGATGAAGTACAGTCCAGAAGAGATTAAAGTGAGATGAGGAAAAACAATGCTGGCAAGGATATTTACCTAAAATTATTTTAGCTAATTCTGCAAGAATCTTAAGGGATCCTAAGAAGTTTCTAAATGTCCCAGTTATACCAATAACCATTACTCCTTTCACCTTCGCTTATGTTGCCACAACTTGCTTTCAGATTTAAAACTTTGCTACCATAACTGATCCTTGTTTTTCACTTTTATCACAAGACTCAATTATAGTCTGTTCCAAATGGAATTTTATCTGAAAGCCTCTTGGAAACATTACTTTATTGCACACTTTATGCTTATGCAGTGGCTTTTCATAAAGGAAGCATTATATCAATTTCCATCTCTAGTTGAAAAACAAATATTCATTTTAACCTATACACATCTATATAATTTTTTCTCTTTATTCATTTATCTACATCATGGTTTCCTGAGTATTCTTGAGGCTACGGTGCCTAAACAGCCTGATTTTGTGAAATGCTAAGCATCCACAATTCTTGTGATTTCTTTGGGTGGGATGCGAACAGTGAGGTTTCTAATGAGCTGAAGTTGTCTGGTAACTCAGTTGTTTCTTTTCTGTCAGTTCAATTTAATTTGTAATTCTATACAGTATATGTATAACTAAGATAATTAAAGTAACTAATGAATTATTTTGAGTGTGAAGTAGCTGGTGAAAATAACATCTATAGAGATATAAAATATTACTGAACACAATCCTAAATAAGACAGCACAGAGTAAAAAAAAGTTACATTTAATTCAGGAAATAGAATATTAAATTGTATTTTCCCCTTTTCTTTATGGTTGTGAGCATAGTGGATAGAAACAGACAGTTTAAAACAAATATTTTTTTTATTTCACATATATAGTATGAAAGGATACGATGTTCTGCAGTTTTAGCCATGAGATCGTCATTATCAAAAAGCAATAAGCAGACTACAGCAATGATGAAAAATACAGCACCTCTTGTCTAGAAAGCAAACACAAGGGCATCGATAAAAATGACATAACTGTCTTAATTTGATAAACATTAACTGTTGCAGACAAATGTGTGAAGTGCTTTTCTTCCCATACGCATTTATTCCAATATGGATTCTGTTGTAACCCATATTTCTTTTAATGCCAAAATGACACCAGGGGAGGTGGGAGGGAATTGATTTTGGGTCCTCCATGTGTCATACAAAGATCCTACCACTGAACCACAACAGTAGGTTCTGCCAGAATGTATATGGAAGTCAAAAGAAAGCTGTTGAAGATGAGATAATGACACAGGGAACAGCCTCAGGTATCCAGCTTCAAAGTAGTTAAAATAACAAGAGCTGGGCCATCAATTGGGAACAGAATTTATCTGGGGGTGTGGACAGATGTAACACTTAGAAAATTCTAAATACACTTTAAAACCTGAGGCTGCCTATACATGTACTCAAGGGTGGGAGGGGGTATTAATTAGAGTGGCTCCCAGAGAGCTGCTCTAATTCAAATGCCTCACTGTCATGTCTGTTAAGCCCCTGTGCATTTAAAAATGGCTGCAAGACCACTTCTGCAAAGCCTCATTTGACAAGGTTTAGCCAAAGCTTTCCCACGACTATTTTAAAAAGCACAGAGGCTTAGTAGAAGTGACAATGAGACGATACTAGAGCATTTCAATTAGTAAGTAGAGCAGACTTGATTAACTGAGTCTACTCCAACACGTTCTAAGTAAAATGTGAATGAGCATATCTATAGGCAGCCTGAGATCTAGATGGCAGCAATGCAATCCCTAAAAGGTCAGTGTTTCACTCAGAACCCTTAGCGGTGTATGTGTGGACACTTCTGCACCGGGACAATTGTGAAACAGTTCCCAACCAGCTACACTCTTGGAATGGTTCAAGTGTTATGTCTGTCTACACCTTGGCTGACTTAATTCCAAGCTAGAATGGGGTACTTCTCCTAAAGCTAAGCTGGAGATCTGAGGAGACATCAGAGCCCAGAAATCTTAGAAAACAGTCGGGTGAAACGCACAGAATATACTACAAGCAACAAAGACTACTGCCGTAATTCAGAGATGGTGAATGAACGAGGTGCTCCTGAACTAGACATTAAGCTTAACTTTAGATAAGGGAATATAAAGATAGGTCTCGTGCTTTTTTAAAAATCACTTCTCTAACTGCAGCATATATTTTGACAAAATAAGGCATGTTTGGTTTTGAAGAAACTATTCCTGCATTACTGCAAGTGTACATGCTTGATTCCAGGAGAAAGTCATTGTAGTCCAACCCTACTTGGCAATACCTACGGAGGCTGTAACCAAGGTCCTAGTTTAACTGTGGAATTCCAGCTCTGAAGATATCTTTGTAACTGCGGCCAGCAAGACTTCAGGAAATGACAAAGACGCAGTCAGTCCAGAATTTTTCCCCATTTGGGAAATGACGATGACATTTAAAAAGGGCGAGGAGGATTGGACCTACTGCATATTCCAATAAGAGCTATCATAAAGAACCCTTGCCTCTTCCATTTCCTGGACCATCACAGCTGAACCACAACAGCTGCAACAACTTTAACCCCACTAATGATATTTATCTCCTTTGTAAGCCCACATCTATTAAAAAGATTTTTATAGTAATCATAATAATACATAGTAAGCTTTGCTATATAGTAAGTTTTTCTATAACAGCCTATGGAATACTCACCCAGGAACTGTACTGCACCCAATGACTGTTTAATACAAAGTGTATAAAAAGTCATGGGCTGGTCAACATTGATCTCTCTCTGGCACCATGGCTCTGGAATTCTTTCTGAACAGTGGAGGAGTGAAGTGTCCTCGCCTAGCTCATAGCCTACTGGTAAGAGTTAGACTTGAACCCCTCAAGCTCAGGAGGGCACTGAACCTACATTTCCTTTTTCCTGGGCAGGTGTTCAAACCTCTATACCAGAGCTGTCAACACACAGGCCAGATCCAGCCCACAGAGCTGCATTATGTGGGCCTTGTAGTAGGACTGAGAATTTGGGGGATGGGCAAGCATGGATGGGGCCTGCCACCAAAATCTGGGGCAGAGTGCCACTTGGGATGTGTGCTGGTGGTAGAGGGGAGACTAACACCCGTGTGAACCCCCTCAGACACCATCATGTCCCAATATGCCCCACAAGGAACCCCATGGCTCAGATCCAGACCATATAGCAGAGTGAGTTTGACACCACTGCACACCCCTTATAGATGGGCTCCTCTTCCACCTGTTTTGACTTAAAGATGCCGCTACTTCCATTTTTCTTTTTGGCTGAACTCCTTCTTGTTCAGACATGTTAGGCATAGTAAAAGCAGGCCCACCAAATTAGACTTGTTACAGAACTTTCACCTCAGGGACACCTTATTTGTGGGTCTCATCAAGGGATGTGATGAGATGCCCAGGATGGTGACAGTTCTGATCAAGTACAGAAACAGAATACTAGTTACACTAAAAACCTGAACGGCAAAAACTCAGGTGACCTCCCACAAGCCTAAAAAGTTGGGCCAAGGTTGTAGTGAATGGACCACTGACCACTGTTATGTTTAACTGGATTTGACCCTATGATGCCCGAATGAAAACTGCTTCTAAAGTGCAAACTACTATAGCAGTTTTTCCTATATACACAAGATTAACTCCAAGCCTATCTCAGACAGCTCACATAATTTCTTCTTCTTTACCTGAATCAACTGCATATTTCTTTAAAAAGCACAAATTTTAATTTCACCTATATTTCAAGCAATCATGCAGCTTATCAATCTGAGTTTGAAATGCCCTTTACTTCTACTGTACTGGGGAATATCTGTTACTTTAAGAACATGCTGCAATATTATTTAACTCTTCTACAAAAATATCTGAATACCTTTGTTGGTCCTCCTCCTGAATTTGTGAACAGTACACTAAGCAGTGAGAGCACAACGATGTCACTATGTTCAAACAGTAACAATGTCCTGCAGAACAAGAGAGAGTCATTTTTATCCTGTCCATTTACAAAGAATTTACATGCCAGTGCAACATAAAATTAAATGAAATTGTGTCCAGAATTTATCTTACAGCTTCAAGAGCAATATCATGCAATTCAAAGAATACTTAGGAGCCTGAAGTCTAATCCAGCTAAAAAATTATCATGACAAAAAAAATAAACCAATTGCTTGAGCAATAAAAGAAATATGTACAGTAGTTCAGTAATGGCAGTTAGGCAAGTACTTGAAACTGCAGTGCACTTTTATTAGAGTATCAAGAAGTGAAACTGTTCACGGCAGTTAATATTCTTATTGCAGTAACGTCCAAAATTCCCCACCTCTGTCTGCTAGAATGGACATGGGCCTGTTCCTTCTCAGTAAGCTAAAAGCAGATGTCCAGTTTATCCCAGATCTGATCATCCTAGGAGTTGGATCCAACAAAACAGGCCAATCATTTACACACACAATTTGAATGACAATTATCTTGAACTAACTCTGACAACCCTAAGTTGTCACTCTTACCCGACCTGCTCAGATTCAGTCTGCATTGGTCCTTAACTGACTAAGGGGGTTACCACCATGTGATGCAAGGGCTGTGCTTACCGCCTAGTGCACTAAGACCTCCATAGCATTCCCAGCTCTTCCCCAAACAAGTTAGACTGCAGGGTAAATCAGAATGTCCCACAACAAACCAGCATTGAATTCTCACTATTTGCAGGCTACTACCATTATCTATCTGATGATTTAAAGATGAACACAAACGCATGTTTCTCTTCTGTGCTTTACTTAAAAGAAACTAAATTTACAACAGTGTCATTTCATATAGCTGGATATGGAGATTAAGCTGTCATAATTTTTAAAGTACTGGGGCAGCTAGGAGCCTCAGCCATTGACCAGGACTGCATTGTGCCAGGTGCTGCTCAAGCAGAACTAAGAGACAGTCTCTGCCCCCAAAGAAGCTGTAAGGTCAGAGACAGCAGATGAACAGTTAGTGAAACAACAAAATGAAAGAGAATATTAGTCACCACATCAAGTTTTCTGTAGGAATCGTGACAAGTAAGGAGCTTGAAGGACAAAGAAGAAGCTTTGCAGATTTATGGATAATTCCAACTAAGTATGAGGGAGAAAGTCCAATAACAGATTTAAAAAAATTAGCGAGTAATATTTGACATACGGATTTCTTTTGAATGAGACAGAAAAGCTGAAGTAGGAATAGGTCATGAAGATTAATTTAGTCAGATAAAA